AGTCTCGGCGTCGGCGGCGAGAACTTCCGGGATCAATTTATCGCGTCTTAACCAGACGCGATAAATCAATCCCAGAACATCGATTGCCTGCCGCCGGACCCTCCAGTAAGTGAAGACGTACCCTTACATCGCTCAGGGGTGTGGATTATTCACATCCCTGAGTGACATAAATTATACTAAAGTAACCTGTAGTGTAGACAAGGAAAACAATTTTTAACATCAAGTGTCTAGATAATAGTAAGCCACTCCGAAGTTGAAACATTAAAGAAGGAGAAAGAGCATCTGTGAGTGCTCATGAAGGTAGGAGAGATGTTAGGACTAGGGTGGGAGTCAAGGGTTTAAGACCCACTTGAGCAAGGTTCTTAACACACAAGTAGACCCACTGATTTCACTTGGATTAGTCATGTCTCATAGTCAGACACATGTTTAAATACCTTAGAGTCAGGACCTTAGAGAGTAAAGAAGGAGAGACTGTACACAAGAGACTTAGAATTAGAGGCGGTGGGATGGATTCTGGAACTGGCGCAACTCCACTACCTTCAGTGCAGTCACTCTGGCTTTACACCAGTGTGGCTGAGATCAGTATTTAACCCACTGCAGTCATATTGGTCAGTAGGAAAGGGACACAGAGGTGGAAGATGAATAGTTCAGAATTGGAGTTTGGAAGTATGCAGATTGAGTGAACTCTGTATTGATGAGGGCTGAATCTAGATGTTGTAGATGTGAGAGGTAAGGACAAATTGTTATATATAACTCATTAATAAATTTAACATTTTAATACATTCTTTATGCTGGCTCACTGCAGCTCTCCTTGGACGTACGTAGACTGCACACTTCCCTGATTTTCTTAGCTTTATTTTTTTTTTAAATGTATCCTGATTCATTTCCCTGACTACTTTTGTCCTTTGTCCCCAGCTTTTATTCACCAGCTTATTTCTCCCTTTATTATTTTTGGTACAGTAATGTAAAGCACTTTTTATCCTACATGCACTAGGGGCATCCTAAAATTTCTGGGTTTCTAACTGCATTTAAGTCTGTGAAATGCCATATTGTAAGTATGATAAAATTCCCTTCCTCAAAATCAAATTGAAACTAATTAAATTGAGCTATGCAATGTGAACAAAATCCTAAAAAAGGGAGGACGGGGAGGGGAGGGAAGGTTATTCTAGACGTTTAGTTCCTGCTCCAGCTTTTCCCATCTGTACTCATAGCAAAAATATTGCCTGTTACTTTTAGGTTCCAAGTCAATCTGTTTCTGGCTCTGACTTTGTCCAAGGGCAGGATTTACACAGTACAGTTTATGAAGTTATTCAGCATATTCCAGAGCAACAGGAAGATCATCAAGAGTAAGTCCTATATGCACTAATATGGTAACCCAAAGATTTAGAGACAAATCCAGAAGTGATGGGTAAGATGATGTAAATTACATGTTGGTAAATTAGTGAGAGTCTGAGGGAGCGCAAAAGAATCTGTTATAAGAAGACATGGCCTGAACTTCATGGAAGTTTGGATCTGAATTCAAGCATCACAGCTAAAACCCTTCTTTTAGTTATGAGGATAGATATGGACAACCACATTTTGAATGCTCTATATTATTGCTACAAGATTTAGAAAACAAAAACTTCTCAAATAAGAGCAGCACAGAAGGAAAATTTCCATTTTGCAAAGCCAAAATTAACATGCCTAGCAGAACTCATGTCCAGGCAGGTTAGTCAGGTTAGAAATGACACTGCTGCAAGCTTTCAAATTCCAAATCTGCAGCCAAGTGATCCTTAAAGCAGTGCATAAATCAGGGGAATGAGTCCCATACTTGTCCATACAACCAAATGCTTCAGTGATCAGTATAAGCAAGGGACTGAAACATCAGAACAGGAAAGGGCTTTGGGAAAGTAATTTCAGATTCCTATAGCTCAAATGATCAATATAAGCAGTGATCGCCAAAACTGAATTCCACTGTACTGATGATCAGTCATCTGCAGTCAATTGTGTTCTTGTGGAGGGACAGATGGAATGGCACTGAACTTGCAAGTAGTGGGGAAGAAACTGCGCCAACCATTCCAATTAGTGCAGGAATAACCAATTTCAATGTAATAGCCAAAGAGGTTAAATTAAACAGACCCAAATGGGCTCTTAAGTAAAAAAAGCTGTTTTACTCAGACTAAACCTTCACTGCAACGCTTACAGTAGTGCAACTGCACTGATGCAGGTGCGCTGCTACAGGGTCTGTGGTGGAAAGCCTCTGAGCAGACAGGCGAGATTATTCACACCCCTGAAACTGTAGTGTAGACAAAGTCTCAGATTCTGAATGGTTCTGGCCCAAGTTGCTTACTGAAAGAAAAATGATTCAGTATTCTTTATAGACATGTATTAAAATTAATAAACAAGCAAAAAAAGTCAAGAAAACATATCACTAGGACTAAGCTACTAAAAACTTTACTAAACTAAGGACTAATTAATACAATTATCAAACTGAAATCAAATTAAAATCAAATCAACAAATTAATCAAGAAAGGTATTGAATTAATATAAAAATCAAATTAGTTAGATCTTGCAATTAGTACAGCACATAATCAATTCTTTCAAATCCTAAACAGGAATCCAAGAAGGTGGCTGCCCATTTGTGCATATCCCAACTAAAGAACTTTTAATCCTGGCAGTATAATCAGGTTTACATAGATAAATAACATAATTCTGAGACCCAAATACTTGGTTGTGTCTGATTTACAATCTTGAAGCCAATCAAAGCTTTCTCCTTGGATTTTAAGCTAATTTTCCTAGCCCGTTGCTTTGATCATGCCACCCCTCTTTTTTCATCCCTCTACTGGGCTTCATCTTCTTTATCGCATCAAACATAAGCTACTTGTCTTCATTTCCAAGGCCCTTCATGGCCTATCCCCATCTCTCATGCAGCACTGAAAGTCAGCTCCTACCTCACATCATATCATTATCCCAGCCTCCATCTCCCACTTGTTAAATGTTCAAACAGGCACCTTCATGCTTTCTCCTATGCTGCCCTTCACACATGCATCTGCATCTACATCTGCAAGCTACATCATTAGCTTCTTTCAATGTCCCCTAAAACTCTCCTCTGCCATGAAGCATACTAAACTTAACAGTGGTTAGGCTGCTGTTTTGCTGAGACTACTGCCTATCATGCTGACCAATATAGTCTCATTGTTTCCTTGTACACTCCTGTAGGTCTGTCCGTATCAGTCTGTAGTTTCTGGTTTTATACTTAGACTGTGAGCTCTTTCGGGCAGGGACTGTCTTTTTGTTGTGTGCCTGTACAGCACCTAGCACAAAGGGATCCTGGTCCATGACTGGGGCTCCTTGGCACTATGACAATACAAATTAATAATAAAATAATATTATTAATATATAATAATACTACAGTGGTGACTAAAGGTGTTCATCTCACCCCTCCCAACAGAAATCTCAGCGAAAATCATATTAAAAAAAAGAACTAGGTAAGTTCATGGAGGATAGGTCCATCAATGGCTATTAGCCAGGATGGGCTAGGATGGTGTCCCTAGCCTCTGTTTGCCAGAAGCTGGGAATGAGCGACAGTGGATGGCTCACTTGAGGATTACCTGTTCTGTTCATTCCCTCTGGGACACCTGGCATTGACCACTGTCAGAAGACAGGATACTGGGCTAGATGGACCTTTGGTGTGACACAGAATGGCTGTGCTTATGTTCTTATGACAAAACTGTCTGATAAGCAAAAGTTTAACACTCTTGCCCAATAATTTGCATATAGGATTTTTACAATTTCTCAGGATTCCAACACAGCACTTTTTTTATAAGTAGCATTCAAGAGATAGTGATTAGTGCGATTTTAACCTGGGGAATATTTCTTTCTAGCATCTTCCCTTGGGGCGTTACAGGTGCTCACACATGCATGCAGATAGCCACACCCTAAAACAGTAGAAGTCTAGGATTTCTCCCAGCTTCTTAGGCAAAAGAAACAGGTAAAATACTTTTTTTAAAAGGGTTCTGATTCATTAGCTCTCAGTCTCACGTTGTCATCAGATCTTTTACAGTTGCAGGACCAGGCAAGGTGATAGATGGACCAGTGCTGAGATTGGACAACAGGGGATGCATCACTAGAAATTGCCGTGTTCTGTTCATTCCCTCTGAAGCATCTGGCATTGACCACTGTCCAAAGACAGAATACTGGGCTAGATGGACCATTTCTCTGACCCAGTATGGCCATTCTTATCCTAGCAAGGTTTCACAAATGGTGAGACTTCAGGCTGGTGTAGCCCATAGCAGTAGTCTTCCCCTCTTCCTTCTATAGGTGACCAGCCTGGAAAAGCAGGCGGGTTAGCTTCTTCAGGTGTCTTTGCTGGTCCGAAAAAACATAAGGCCTTTTATTATGATAGAGAGAGCTTCCCAATAGGGGGTTTTATGGTAGGATAGTACGCTTATGTATAGGGTAATGTCTAGGAATTTGGAGTACCTCTACACTTGGAGCTGGGCGTGTGATTCCCAGCTCAAGGAGACATACCTGTGCTAGCTCTCATCAAGCCAGTGCAGTAAAAATAGAAGGTAGCCATGGCAGGGTGAACAGCAGGATGGCCTAGCCACTCAAGTAAGTATTGAGGATCTCAGGTGGGCACACAGGGTGACTAGCCTGTCCTGCAGCTCACGCTGCCATGACTACATCCTACTTTTAGTGCATGAGACCTAGTGCAAGTATTTTCTCCTCAAGCCAGGAATCACACCCCCAGCTCCAAGCGTAAACATACCCTACAAGGCTTTGACTTGCAAAAAACTGCTTGATGAGAGAGGACAGTATATATGAAGAAAGGAATAAAGCCTGAATGTTGCACTCTTGGCTTTCTCTCTTTTCATGCTTGAACACTGACCACCTTCTGCCTTGACCTTCATTCTTATAGTTGTGGTCATCATTTGCTTCACCTTACACCTCCGTATGATGTCTTCAAGCAAAGCCAGGTGTGAAGAACAACTGGGGCTCCAACCATCTGGGCCAATCAAGTTGAAAAGATGCAATCTTTAAGTTAACAATAGTCTGGAAAATTCCAGCTAAAAGTGGCCATTTCCTCAAGATATTAGGCATTGCATATCACATACTTTGCAAAACCCCAAGAAGAATCAAAATAAAAACATGAGAACCATTTTGAGGAAGTTGCTCTCACCCACACCCCTTGGGTAAACAACCACAGAACACAATCTGACATCAGTGGCTAGTGGAGGGCCTGAATGGGTCCATAAAAAGAATTGTCAAATAAAACACAACCTTTCATCCAAACTTCTCATGCACCCTCAGTATCTCTTAAACTGAACTTGAATATCTACGAAAAACTGTTACATCATTTTGCCGCACACAAAACTGGGAAACTGGCAATAACAGGCTAAAGTTTACAAAGCTTTCAACTGGTGAAAGTTCACACCTCGTATCTCATCTAAGAGGAGAAAGCTGTTATAACTTCGATACAATCTTCATCTGAAAGGAAGCAAAAACACACATTCATTCCAACTCAGTTTCTCACATACTCTCTCTCTCTCTCTCTCTCTCTCACACACACACACACACACAGCATTATTATGCCACAAATTTCTGCTGCGCTGACTGCCAAAGAGCAGTGGAGATCTGTATATTTCCCATCATTTCAACAGCAGACTTGTGAGAGCCTGCACTGACTCAGCATGTCCCTGCTTGTCATTAACAGTTGGTAGAGTACATTATTACTGATAATGAATGAACATGCTGAAACATTTGCAGCATCTAAAAGAGAGATCTCACCAGAGAACCACCATGATTAGGTGTTATATTAACTGGGGTGGCATAATTTTTGCCTAGTCCAGGGCTGCCTCACCACTGCACATACCTTTCTGAAATGAGACCTCTGAGACTCAGGAATGGTTGACTGTTCTGTTACTCATGTTCAGTACTGTACCTCAGTCAGTCCCTCTCTGTGAAAACACAATGCAAACAGCTAACCTCATAATTTACACCACACCATTGGCATCCTACCACAGTGAAAACTGCGTATCAGGTATACAAGGGTAGAAAGTTGCCTTGAAAAATTGTAAATGTATGGGAGTCTCTGTGAAAATGACCATGGACTGGGGACCCCGTAAAAATGTCTCTAGAAGTTCTCCCTCTCCAAGAGTATTTTTTCTGTCCGTAGCCCTCTTTCCTTGAGCTGGTAACCAGTGCCCCCTGCTGAGATGCTAGTAACCCATGGGTGCTCAGGGTCTGTGTGGCTTATAGTGATGATATGCATGTAGCATATAAACTGCACATTTGTATGTCTGGAAGAACTTTTCTGACTCTTACAATGAAGGGATATTTTAATATAACACCAAAACTACACTTTCATCACCAAGACAATCACTAAGAAGCTGGGCTGCATTAGTGTTACGTTTTGTCGCACACAGGAATGTCTGATAGCAATACCATCACAACTTTTACTCTTCTAAATTAATGCCACAGTTTACCCACAGGCATTCTAAAGGTATAAGCAATGTCAGTTCCTGAATTTGTGAGAACAATATCAGTGTCAACTTATCAGTATCGTCAGCTACTACAATACCATTCTGGAAAGTACTGTACCATTTTCATTGAGCCACAACTACTTTGACTTCTGAGGGTAAATCTTCAGCATAGTGCACAGCATCTTAGTCATACAACCATCACCAATATTAACGATCATCATACTGCTAAACCCCAGCTCATCATATTGAAAATGTACACTTGTTAATTGCATAAATATCAAAGTTCTGTTCTTTTCTAGAGGTACATGAAGATGCAAGCACAGCAAATCAAGGACATCCTAATGCAAATGTTAACTTTGGTGTCTTTACTGGAAATGGAAAGCAAATGCCTGCAGCTCTCAAAATGGCAAAGGACTAAGCTAGCATTTCTGAAATGATAATACTTTCTTAATCTAGCCATTTTTTTCTTTATTGCTCCTCCCATACTGGATTTTGTTATTGGTTTTGTTTAACTAATGGTTTCTTGAAACAGCTGGGATTTTTTAATTGCTGACAATGTTTTGCATTATGAACTACAAAAAGAAAACAGAACCAAAAGAAAATATAGATAATAAACACTATAGCATTAAGTCTGGGATTGCTGCCTAGGAGTCAGACCAAAGGACTTTCCTTGCTAGTTATATCGTAACATGGAAAGGAAATTGTATTAAACTTTCCATTGGGTGGACTTTTAAAAGAGAAGCTGTGGCACATTGGCAATAATAAACAATACAATGTGTCAGACTGAAAAATAAATCCTTTTAAAAAAAAATCAGTATCAAAATTTTTCTTGTAACTTTAATCTGTAATTTACCAATTTATAAAAACTAATTTGTCATAGTTAGTTAAAAATGTATATATGTATATTATTCAGAATGTTTTGTTTTTATTAATTTGTGTTTCCTTTGCATGTAAGCTGTCTTCCCATTTTTATCCTCTTAAGGCCCAGATCCACAAAAGGTTCTTAGACTTTGTGATCCAGGCGAGTTGCAACACCTAACAGTTAGGTGCCTAGACAATTATGGGAACAACACTGCAATCCACAAAGCCTGAGTTAAGTACCTAGGCTCCCTGTACAATGAATGAGGAGAACTAAGCACCTTAAAGTGTGATCCACACAAGTCAGGATACTAGGCAGCTTTCTGCTTAAGCTACCCAATGGGAGATGGCGATGAGAGGTGTGTGTGCTAAGCCCCACCCATCTCAAAGAGATAGGAACCAAAGTCTGGGCTGCAGGGAGGCACCCGTCTGTGCTAGTGATCCACAAACTAGGGGGGAAATAGGCACTCCTCCGCCTTAGTCACATGCAGGGCCTGATCCAATAGGCATGCTCAGAGGCCGTTTAACTCCACAGCTGGGGGTGGGGGTGGGGAGGAAGGAAGAGGAGGACATCCCTTATAACCCTTAGCCCAGTGGTTACAGCACTCACCCAAAAGGTGGGGACATGACTCCTGCATCATGTCTCCACCCTTCTGATGAGGAGAAGGGATTTGAACAGGTGTCATCTACCTCTTAGGAGACTGCTCTACCCACTAAGCTATATGGGATATTCTGATGGGGGGATTCCTCAATCTCTCCTATTGAAGCTGTTCCACTTTAAGTAATTGAATAATTAAATATTAATTGGTCCCAAAAAGAGTTAGAATGACTATAGACCAGTGGTGAGGACACTCAAATGGGAAGTGGCAGATTCCTGTTCAAATCCCTTCTCCTCATCAGGTCTTGGGGATTTGAACTGGGGGGTCTCCTGCACCTTGGGTGAATACCCTAATAACTGGGATGAAAGTTCTAAGAGGGATGGTTGCTACTGCATGAAGTTAGGCAGCCTCTCATCACTCCTACTGGATTGGGCCCTGCACATGACTTAGTGGCCTTTCCCCTGCTTGTGGATCACACGGGACTTAGGCAGGAGATAGGTGTCCAGGCACCCAGAGTGAGGAAGCAGTGTGCGTGCTCAGGGACTGAAACATAAGCACCTAGGGAAATTTTATTGTAAAAACTTGGACACCGAGACAGTTTAGGAGCTGATTGGATTATGTGGCAGCGGAGCAGGAGTTTTGTGGATCACAGTGGCACCCCAAAATGGGAGTTAGGTGCCTCAGTACTTTTGTGGATCCCACCCTGAGAGCCTGTTTTCTATTCGTTAGATATCAGTTAATCTATGGGTAATTATTGTGATCTGAAGGGGAGGCTAGACTAGATCAACATTTAAACATCAGGAGGCTCCAATAGTACCAAGAACCATTGTGGTAGCAGATGCATAGGAATGCAGATATTCTCTGTTGAGGCATCCTGCTATCAGGTGTTGCTATACTGCATGGAAATGCAAGTGGACCACTGACTCACCCAAACAGGTGGATTCAGTTAGAACCAACCAGGATATAAAAGGCATTTGAGCCTAAGTAGAAGATGGAACTATGCTCTGGGATAGAGTCTCTGTAAGGAAAACAAACTAACCACCCTAGTAACAGCCTGTTATGGGGGAGATGATTAGGCAGAGGTTTAGGGTTGGTTGCTATTGTTTCCATTACCAGTAACTGGAGTATACACAGCACTTATGTACTTTATTTACTAAGAGCAGCGTGGGAATGTTGCAGGCTTTTGAAACAATAAAAAACACATTTCCTATATGGAGCTTATTAAACTTTCTCTCGGTTTCCTTCTCTAAAGGAGAATGATCTCCCCTCCCTGTAAATATTTCCATCTACCATGGAGAGATCAAAAGGGAATCAGGGTGCCATCTTCTGCACTATAGGCAATGAGAATTTAGCATTTCATTGCTGCTGCTCCACAGCTTTGAAGGAAGTAGAGGGGTGATCTCAAAGATACTGTTGGTTCCACTGATCACCCTTTTGTCCTTTCAGATCCAGCCAATTGGTGAAGAGGGGTCAGGTCAGGCTGAAAGTTCCCATATCTATCCAGAACTCCTAAGAGTGCTGAAGTCACTGGGAAACTATGTGGTCTAATCCCCTAGAACTTTGTCCTTATCCAAAATAGAGATCCACTTATGCGGTCTTAAAGGTTGGGGCGGTTTTGAAATGTGCAAAGTCTTTGAGTTGCCCCTTTGGAGCGGGCAAGATATTTGAATTTCTCCTAAAACTCTGTAGTGGAGATTTCTAAAGTGCTTTTCAACATAGCATCTAGCCACCCTTTAATATTGCTGCAGGGGCACCAGGGCTTCTTCCTGCTCCCAGGACAAAAGTGGAGGTGTTTGTATAGTGACACAAAACTGATTTATAGTACCACTGCAGCACGCTGATTTTAAAATACTGCTATTTTGTCTTTCACCCAAGTGACTGTTTGTAGCTTAAATTCTAGCTGCTGCCTCTTAATTGACTCTTCTCAAATGCAGAAAAAGGGCAAATTCCCATTGGAAGAGATAGCCTTAGGGCTGGTCAGTTTCTATGGCAGAGATGGGCAAACTACAGCCTGTGGGCTACATCCGGCCCGTGGGACCGTCCTGCCTGGCCCCTGAGCTCCTGGCCAGGGAGGCTTACCCCCAGCCCCTCTCCTGCTGTCTCCTCTCCCCCGCAGCCTCAGCTCGCTCACTCTGCCGCCGGCACAATGCTCTGGGTGGCGGGGCTATGAGCTCCTGGGGCATTGCAGTTGCAGAGCCCGGCCTGACCCGGACTCTGTGCTGCACGATGGCGGCAGCATGGCCTGGCTCCAGCCGGGCGGCGCGGCTGTAGCGCCGCCAGCCACCGGTGCTCCAGGCAGTGCAGTCAGGGGGCAAGGAGCAGTGGGGGCTGGATAAAGGGCAGGGGTTCCGGAGGCAGTCAGGGGACAGGGAGAAGGCCTGGTTGGATGGGGCAGGGTGTAAGCATGCAGACTCTGCAGCCCTGGTACTGGTCTTAGGCCCTCAGCTAGGCCCACAGCCTGGGGGTTTTCCAGGCTGGAGCACCTCAGCTCCTCTAGCCTTCCCCCAGCCCTGCTCAGCTCCCTAGCAGCCAGGCCCTTCTCTCTCTCTCTCTGAATGCAGAGAGAGACTGAGTGGGCTTCTGGCTCACAGCCTCTTATTGGGGTGTGGCCCAGCTGTGTCCGCTTCCCCAATCAGCCCAGCTTTTAGAGTTGCAGCCCTCTCCAGAGCTGCTTTTACCACTGCAGCCCTCTTTCAGGGCTGCTTTCAAGCCTTTCCGGGCAGGAGCGGGTGTCCACCCCGCTACACAGGGGTTCCAGGGTGGGCCGTCAGGAATGAGAGGAAGGGTTGGATGGGGCGGCAGAGGTCTGTGGGCGGTCAGGGGACAGGGAGCGGGTGTGTGTGGATGGGGCAGATGTCCCAGAGGAGCCGTCAGGGGACAGGGGTTGGATGCGGCAGGAGTCCCAGGGAGGGCAGATAGGAGGTGGAGGCCAAGTCATGACCTCCTCCCCTAACCGGCCCTCCATACAATTTACGAAACCCAATGCGGCATGCGGCCCTCAGGCCTAAAAGTTTGCCCGCCCCTGTTCTATGGGGAAGGCCAGGGAAAGAGGTGGATCTGTGTAACAATGGATATTCATCTCTATGTTTCCTGCTGCTCAGCCCCTACAGAATCCTGCCCCACATTGTGCAGCAGACCAGCACTGGCTCCACTGCTAAGAAACTCTCCATGGCCACAAGCTCAGGGATATGATTTAACCCTTAACCCTCTCAGTTACAGCAGTGTAAATCTGCAATAACTTAACTGAAGCCAGCAAGTCAGTGGCAGAGCTGCAAATAAGAACCCAGTCCTCCTGACCCCCAACCCTCTGTCCTAGCCATGCTGTCTCACTTCAATTGAAAGTTATAGATTAATTTAATATCATTAACAACCTTCTAAGTCAATTTAAAGCACACTTTTGCCTGGTATCCAAGTGTAAGATACAACTGTTCCCGCAGTGTTGGCTTTCTTGATTTTCTCTCGCCATATAAAATAACCTTGTGTAAACTTATGCCATCTATTAATGTCTTAAGTGAATAAGTCTAAATTAGATCTAGTTTAGGCCTTTGTAATATACCTGTATAAATATTTTAATAAAATAATTTAAAATATGCTATGCATTCTGTAATGTTTAATAGCTCTGTGTGTGCGCACATGTGTACAGGCACATGATCACGCAGCCATTTAAAAGAAAATCAGTAGCCAACCATTTTGTGGAAATGCCAGTTACTGGTATGAATATGTGTAGAACACCTGGAGTATAAGCACGTATGTGTATAACTTGTTCCTATTCTGGAAGCATGAGTCTTGGGGGAGCAGAACTGTGCATTTTCTGATTTCATACCTATGTCTTCTCTTCCTTTAGCAATAAGAAAAAAAATGTAATCATGCTGAAAATAAAGGGGATGATACATTAATACTTGTTCGTGCCTTGCTTCTCCCAGACGTTGCTATGCCACTATGTCTTTGATTGAAAAGACAAGACTGTTGTCTACCATTTCTTGAATCTATCTGTAATATACAAAAACTCATACTCAACTCTCTGGAGACGAAGTTGCACACATCGTGAGAGCTGAGGTCTGGCTGAAGAACCCAGTGAAGAGAGGCAGATGGGGACACAAAGCATCCAAACAACAAATCCTGAGAGGCACCATGATGGCATTTATGAAACATTTTTCGGCCAAGCACCAGAATTGTTTGGGTTTTCATGTGTTCATTTGATAAAAAGTCAAATTTTTTCACATCAATCAAAAACCCAATTTTCTGTTGGTTTTTTTTGTTTTTTTTAAAAACACACCACAGTTTAGACAGAAAAAGTTGGCCAGCCCTCCTTTAAAGGCAGGCAATATAATCCATGCGAGGACAATACTATCTTCTTATTTTATTATGATCCGTTATTCATTCAGGGCTAGTTTTTCAAGGGAGCTCAGCACATTGATTGCTCAGCACTTTTGAAAATCGGACCTTTGTCTTGGTGCTTAAATGGGAGCTGAAGTCTTTTGAAAATCTGCCCCATTTGCATGTGCTGAGTTCTTTTGAAAGCCTGGTACTAAACATCTGTCTGTATTTATGTCATTTGATAATGTAGTTTGAACCATTATTGGAAAGAAGTTTGGAAAAAGTTTACATGACTTACTGTGGAGTGAATTCTGAGCGAATAGACTATGCACAGGGAAGTTCTCGGGAATCTTGGGTTGGGACTCCATTACCACCACCACCACCTGCAGCTAGGCTGCAGTGTAGCTGTGGTAGCTGCTCCGCAGCTTCCACTATAACCTATGGGCATTGTTACCGGCTTCAGCAGCTGCACTGTCCATTATGGGACACTTTGGTCAGCAGTCCCAGTCATACTGGCTGTATGCCTGGCCCTCCGCACCAACCAAATTACTCTTCCATAATAGAGCCCAATGGAGCACAGCTCTAATGAGCACAAGTGTTGTATGCTCCCATGTAAAGGTTCATCCTATTCTACTGCCTCTCTCCTGCACAGAAAAACCACACTCATTTTGCTACCTAGCCAGATCTTCCAGCTAGCTGTAGAGAGAAAGGGTTTGCTTGTGTTTAATATGTAGATTACTATTTGCCAATAAATGTCAACTAAAAATCTAGATGTAATGCAAAAGAAAGTATGTTAAATTTTCAAATAAAGAGCTGCCACATAGTAAAGACATAATAGAACCCCAAATAGTGACATTATACACACAGCTAAAGCACCACTGATATCATCCTTGTTGTGGACCAGTAGCCCTACAATTAGGAATAGTCTGTATGAATGGCTATGCCTAGAGACCATTGTCAGTTAAGTAGTGTATGGTATACACAAATATGTAAGCCATTTGCTGACTCCTAGATTGCTCTCTGAATCCCCTATGCCTCAATCCTTTTCCAGCTCCTGCTACACAGGACCTGCAGAAGACTTTTTTCCAGGAGGGACAGAACAGAACTGACCAACTTCCATCCCATTATTCCACTGTAGGTTCTCTGTCATGTGCCTATGCACACTACCATCCATAATCTGGCATTATATGTAATACATTACTGAGAAGGTCACATTTCCCATTTATAAGCAAAATTTACACATACTAAACAAAATGCAAAAAAAAGAAATAGAATAAACTGAATTCTCCTATGGGAAGAGGAAAAAATGTCTACTTGGAATTGGACATTGCCCTGCAGAATAAAACTGTCCAGCAAAATGGCAGATAACATCACCTACACAAACAAAAATGTGTTTTTTCCATGGGATTAGCAAGCAAATACTGTATATGCAATCCGCCTTCTGCTTATATTATATTGTTCTGTTCACTTGTCTTTTGCTGTATCAGTTTATTGCTGGCTATTAAACAAAAAACACACAACACTGATCTAAAATCCCATTCAAACTCTGTTTATTCTTTGCCCTCCTGTGATAATTTAAACAATGATTTAGTTACTTTTGCTGCAAAAATCAGATATACGTGTGAAACAAGCTCTGACACACTGCAGTATTATAAAGACTTGTTAATGGATGAGAAGAAAATGCTCTTTTCCTATAAAGGAAGTTATGAACCTTTCTGCAGCAGGTGTTATCTGCAACAGATACTCCTGAACATACATGTGTTAGTTGCTTTTAGGGCCTAGTAGAGTCAGTCGCTCCACTGACTTCAATGGGCTTTGGATCAGGCTCTTAGGATGGGAGGAGGAGGTTACTGAGAAAGTAATACCTGATCCAAACCTTTGATATGCAGACAACCAAATTAGAAAGAGTGTTTTTCTCTCTCTCTCTCGTAAAGAGATAAATAGAGATGTAAGCTTTGCCATTTAATTGTTCCCCTGTCAACTGTGAACAATTCCATTTTCTGTGGGGAAATAAATAATGTGTCCTCAAGATCAGATAGAGAGGTTGAGCCACCATGGATTCCAGCTGACGGCAAAAGATAATGATGATGATCACTGACCAGAGCAACCCAGAAACAAAGTCTCTGTAATAAGATGCTGTGAAGCATTATATCTGTTCTTAGAAGAGTTATTGTATACCACTGTGAGGCATGATATGGGGTGTTCAGGAATGCTTAACTCAGGCCTTGAGCACCTTATGAGAATGTTCCCATCTGTAGCAATTCACTGACTCACCAGGGTAACACCTCCTGCTGGTCATCCAGGAATTAGCTTGATTCCAGCCTCAGAGCACCTCCTGCTGGCTGGTGTCTTACTGCCAGTACCTGCTTTCTCCTGATCTCCACCACTTGTAGCACTTCAGGCTCCGCGTCCCCCCCCAGACCCCGGTGCCCCTTATCTTGGGGTGCTGCCCAACAACAGTGCCCCCAGCCCCCGGGTCTCCCCTCCCAGGGGAACCCCAGCCCCCTATACCCACCTTGCCTCAGTGGCTACTGCCAGACAACATCTAGCCCCTTCTCTCAGGGGCAAACTGCAGTCTGTAATGGCCACTCATCACTGGCAAGGGGGTTGGACCTGCTGCCTTTCTAGCCCCAGCTGCCTCCCTACAGCCCTAGGACCTCCCCTGGCCTTTAGCAAGGCCTCAGCCTAGGGACTCACCAGGCCAGAGCTCCTCAACTCTGCCTGCCTTTCCCTAGCCCTGCTCTGCCTGCCTTTCCCTACCCTGCTTGCTCTCCCAGGCAGCCTAATCCTCTCTGCTCCTCAGCTAGAGCAAGAGTCTCTCTCAGCCTGCCCTTTTATCAGGGCCAGCTGTGCCCTAATTGGGTCAGCCACACCCATGGCTGACTACCCAAACAGTCTCCCTTGGCTGCTTGTAACCCCTTTCTAACTGGAGCGGGACAACCGCCCCACTACACCAGCCCTTAAACATCCTGGGTGTTACAAATTAACCCCACCCCTAGACACACACACACAGCCGTTTCAGCAATCAAATTAAGACTATTGCTGGGACCTCAGGGATGGGCCCCACGATTGTTGTGTGAAGGGCAAAGGTGATGGTCACTAAGAAGGGAAATCTCCTGATTGGGCTGACAAGTTCATAGGATACAAATAAGCATTAATAAGGATCATCAAAAGCTTTGTAGAACCCAGATTTTTCAGGGGAAGAAAGATGGTTTAGTGGATAGAATCCTGGACTTGGCTTCAAGAAATCTGAGCTCACATCCTGGCCCAGCCACAGACTTCATGTCACCTTGCACAAGTCAAGTCAATAATCCACCCTGTGCCTCAGTTCCCCACTTGTAAAATGGGGATAATACTACAGAGATACTGTGTGGATAAGATCCATTAAATGATTACGAGGCTTTTGATACAACTATGGTAAGGGCCATATAAGTACCAAAATAAATATATTCTACTAAATTTTACATATGGCCA